GATCATACCCATCTTCTCCAATAAGTAGCTTCCTTTGACCGGAATAGGTAGTTGGTTGACAGTGTAAAATAATTGAGGAATGTCTTTGTTGTGGCTCAACTTGGCAAGAAAGTCAGTCGTGGTGTTGGCTTCTCTGTAGGTATGGAGGCATTGGAATGCTTCCATCTGTTGAATGAGGTTCTGTAGCTCCTGAACATATTGTTGTATCTTCCATGGAGGAATAATAATGAGATTTAGCCAGTGAGTGAGGAGTTCTGAGTCCACTTCTAGCACAACCTTCCTGTAGCCATGTTGATAGCACCAGTTAAGACCAAACACAGCTGCCTGGACTTCTGCCTGGTTATTGGTGCATGTACCAAGAGGTACTGTGAATGCAAATATAAGATCCCCTGCTTGGTCTCTCAGAATGCCTCCCCCTCCTATCTTGCCAGGATTCGCTAATGCACTACCATCAGTGTTCAATTTACAGTAGTTTACATGTGGTTTGCTCCAGATGACAGGTCTGACGCCTATTTCGTGAAAGCATTGTTGGACATAGTTGAGAAGTTCCTACCAAGAGCTAGGCCATTACAGATAGGGAAAGACAGTATTGAGGAGGAGGGAAATGTCTTTAAAGATCATGAATTTGACTCTTGTGATGCTAGATTGTTTCCCTCCATATTTAGCTGAGCACCTGTTCTTCCAAAGGTTCCAGCTGATGATGATAGGCATTGCATGATACATGAGTTTTTGGGTTAGGTTTTAGGGTTTAGGGTTTAGGTTTAGGGTTTAGGGTTTGGGGTTTAGGTTTAGGGATTAGGGTTTAGAGTTTAACATTTAGCATCTAGCATTTAGAGTTTAGGATTTAGGGTTTGGGGTTTAGAGTGTAGGGTGTATGGTTTATGGTTTATGGTTTAGGGTTTTGGGTTGTAGGTTTAGGGTTTAGGGTGTAGGGTTTATTGTGTAGGGTTTAGGGTTAGAGTTTATGGTTTAGAGTTTAGGATTTGGGGTTTAGGGTTTAGGGTTTAGGGTTTAGAGTTTAGGGTTTAGGATTTAGGTGTTAGGATTTAGAGCTTAGGGTTAGGGCTTAAGGTTTATGGTTTAGGGTTTAGGGCTTTGAGTTTAGGGTTTAGTATTTAGGGTTTAGGGTTTAGGGCTTGGGTTTTTGGATTAGGGTCTAGTGTTTTGGGAGTAGGGTTTATGGTTTATGGTTTATGATTTAGGGTTTAGGATTTATGGTTTAGGGTTTAGACTTAGGGTTTAGGGTTTAGTGTTAGGGATTAGGGTTTAGGGTTTAGGATTTAGGGATTAAGGTTTAGTCCTTAGGGTTTAGAGTGAAGGGCTTTGAGTTTAGGGTTTAGGGTTAGGGTTTAGGATTAGAATTTAGGATTTAGGGTTTAGGGATTAAGGTTTATAGTTTAGTATTTAGGGTTTAGGGTTTAGAGTTTGGATTTAGGGTTTATAGTTTAGGTTTGGGGTTTAGGGTTTTTAAGGTTAGGATTTTAGGATTTACGGTTTAGTTTAGGGTTTAGGGTTTAGGGTTTATTATTTAGAGTTTAGGGTTGAGGGTTTAAGGTTTATCATTTAGAGTTTAGGGTTTAGGGTTACATGTTTAGGGTTTAGGGTTTAGAGTTTAGGGTTTGGGTTTAGGGTTTAGGGTTTAAGGTTTAGGGTTAAGGGGTTAGGGTTTAGGGTTGATGGATTAATGGTTTAGAGTTTAGGGTTAAGATTCTAGGATTTTGGGTTTAGAGTTTATTATTTCTGATTTAGGGTTTAATATTAATGTGAAAGGGTTAGGGTTTAGGGTTTAGAGGTTGGATTTATGGTTTACAGTTAAGGTTTAGGTTTAGGGTTTACGCTTTATGGTTTAGTCTTTAGAACTTCGGGCTTAAATTTTAGGGTTTAGGTTTAGGGATTAGGATTAGGATTTAGGGTTTAGGTTTTAGGGATGAGGGTTTAGAGTTTAGTATTTAGGGTTTAGGGTTTAGGGTTTAGAGTTTTGGTTTTTTTTATTTTTTTATTTTTTAATTTAACGAACCTTGGGGGGGTCAGGGGCTTGGCAACACCCCCAGGCCTTAGCATAAATAAAACAAAAGTACAAGGAGGGGGGCTTGAACCTAACCTCCGATCCTATGATAGTTCAGTAGTTGACTTACCTAATGGTTAATCAACTCATCACCTTACAAAAAAGATAAACCAAGAAACTAAGCACCTAAGAGAGGACTCCTCTCGATACAAAGCATCTAGGAATCGTAAATAAGGGAGACTCTCCCTTTACAAATACGCAAAATAAAACACTAGACCTATTCAAAAGAGCTATGATTTTTAACCATAGCTAGGTTGAAAAGGTTTGAAGTCAACTCAAGGTGGTTCTTTGATCCTCTTGATTTTCCTTCTTCTGAAACTTGCCATTTCGATCCTGTCTAGTTGATAATAGGCTCTTGCTTCTTTAGGTAGTTGTTGGCTGCTGCAATATATTTGGGGACATGTAAGTTTGTGACTTTGCTTTGATAAGGAATCGGCTACAAAATTAGCCTCTCTGAAGGTGTGTTTGCATCTAAAGTTATGTGTTTGTCTGATGAGTTCCTGAAGCTGCTGTAGCTGTATGCTGATGCTCCATGGAGGTTTGGCTTTCTGCGTGATTCAGTCCACCAGCAACTGCAAATCCACTTCCGAACCAACACTCTTGTAGCCCAGTTGAAGTACCCATGTCATGCCAAATATGGTTGCTCCTATTTCAGCTTGGTTGTTAGTGCCTTCCCCCAAAGGGGTAGCAAAAGCTAATAGCATTGCTCCCATTTGATCCCTTAGGATACCACCTGCTCCAATTCTTCCCGGGTTGCTTAATGCACTGCCGTCCGTATTGATTTTGACCCAAAGATCTGGAGGTTTTATCCACTTCAAGAGTGTCACTTTGGTATCATGAATACAATTCTCCCCCAGCTGAAATAGTTCCTTCCAGTTTGAAGGACATTTGATTTGGGGGAAACTTGTATTCATTAGTTTGTAGTTGTCCTTGTAGATTGCATATTTGACTCGACTAAGATTGGACGATTTGCCTCCATATTTACTAGCACAACGATTCTTCCAAAGGTTCCAACAAATGAATAATGGTGTAGCTTGTAGTAATAGCTTGTGTGATTCATTGTTATACTTAGCTGACCACCATTGTATGATGAGTTGAGAGAGGGAACTGTGATCTGTGATGATTCCAGCAGCATCTGCAAAGCTTCTCCACACGTATGTCGCGAATTGTCTTGTATTGAATATGTGCTCTATCGTGTCGAGACCAGACCTGTTACAACAACAAAAACAGCTTGCTGGCTCATTGCCAAAGCTAGTTAGTTTTTCATTAGTGGGGACTTTGCCTCTTAGTGTTCTCCACAAAAGAAATGAAATTTTAAAAGGGATACACTTATGCCAAGTGAATGAGTTGAATTTGGTCTTGGTCCTCTTTTCTCTGATCTCATTCCATGCAGATGAGCAGCTGAATTTCCCATCCATGCGTGGTTTCCATATTGCTAAGTCTGGGGGGTCCTGCTGGGTGGAGAGTTCTGTGGAGAGGATGCTGGCCAGCTGACTGTTAGGTGCCTGTTGTAGAAGTTTGCTCCAGTTCCACTGTCCTTCGAGCCAAAATTCTGCCACTGTGGTGTTGTTGAATCTATTGCTATCGGTAGAGTAGTGAGCAAGAGGTCCAATGCCCAGCCAATTATCCCACCAAAAAGAACAATTGCCAGAATTGACCTTCCATTGAATGTGTTTTTTGACTTGGTGTTTGTTGTGCATAAGATGTTTCCATGTCAAAGACTCCCCTGTATCCCATTTCTTGCTAATTGGGTTAGACCTTTGGCAATATTTAGCCTTCAAAAAATCTCCCCAAAGAGTTTGTTTGGATCTAAAGATCCACCATTGTTTATATTGGAAGGCTAAACTCACATCTTTGAGATTCCTCATACCAACACCCCCTTCATCATACGAAAAGCTTAAATTTTTCCATGACGACCAATGATATTTCTTCCTCTCGTTCCTCCATCCCCAGAAGAAGTCAGTCATGATGCTTTGGATCTGCCTGAGGACAGTGACTGGAGGGGTTACTGAAGCTAATAGATGAATAGGTAAAGAATGCAACACATGCTTGACAAGGATTGCTCTACCACCATAACTTAAAAGCTTAGTCTGCTAACCTGTGATCCTGCATAAAACTTTGTTAATAAGGTCAAAAAAATAAATAATCCTAGGCCTACCAACAAATAATGGGCAGCCGACGTAGGTGATAGGGCCCTCCATTTGCTTGAAGCCAGTGACTCTCTTGATTCTGTCCTTCGTACTGTTGAATGCACACGAGTGAACCATGAAATGGCTTTTATCAGTGTTAACTAATTGGCCTGAGGACTGCTCATAGGAATGGAGAGTCTGCATGATGAGCTTCAGTGTTTTCTGTCTTCCAGAAGTGAAGAGAATAATGTCGTCCGCAAAACTTAAGTGGTTCACTTGGGGGCCTCTAGGTTCCATGAAGAAACCATGGTATTCAGGGTTGTTGTGTATCCTGTTCAGAGATCTGGAAAGTACTTTTGCACCTAAAATAAATAGGGCAGGAGATAACGGATCGCCTTGCTTGAGACCTCTAGTGGATTGAAAGAAACCATGTATTTTACCATTGACGATAATAGAATACCAATTGTTAGCCATGATTCTCCAAACCATATCAATAAGAACTTCATCAAACCCCATTCTTCTCAGCACCAAACATATGTAAGACCAAGAAACCCTGTCATACGCTTTAGCCATGTCCAATTTAATAATAACATTGCTTCCAATATTAGGTTTCTTAATTTGATGAATAATCTCTTGGGCAAGCATAATGTTTTCTGAAATACTTCTCCCTTTGACAAGCCAGATTGATTGAGAGAAACCAAATTAGGTAAAATAGGACTTAGTCTAGAACTTACTAGTTTAGATATAATCTTACTAGTGAAGTTGCTTAGACTGATGGGCCTGAATTCTGAAAGTTTGTTGGGATTTTACACCTTAGGGAGGAGAACAATACAAGCGTGAGAAAAATATTTGGGAATCATTTGACCACCAAAGAATGCATGAATGACACCAAGGAGATCATGCTTGATAATGTGCCAACATTTCTGAAAAAAGTATCCATTCATCTCATCTGGACCAGCTGCAGAAGTAGGATTCATAGAGAATACAACTTCCTTCAACTCTTCCAGATTAGGCAGGGCAGTAAGACTATCATTTTTTTCCTGATTGACCATCAGAGGTATACAGTCCAGGGCACCCTCATTGATGAGTTTGTTATCTCCTGTAAAGATTTTCTGGAAATGGTCACAGGCAGCTTCAGCAATAACATCATCTCCTTGTATCCATACCTCATCCTCCCTGGTAATTTTGTGAATAAATAACCTTTTTTTTCTTCCCCTTACCAGGGAGTGGAAGTATTTGGTATTGCAATCCCCCTCTTTGAACCACTGCAGTTGTGTTTTTTGCTTTAAAATGGAATCTTCTATCTTCAAGAATCTGATATACCTAGCATTGATTTCATGAAGCATAGATTTGTTAGTCTCACTAGGGTCTTGAATCAGCTGCTCCTCCACTGTTTTGACCTTCTTCTCATATTCCTTGACTTTAGCAAAGATGTCCCCAAATTCCTTTCTGGACCAGTTGCTAAGAGTGTTGGACAACCTTTTCATTTTCTGATGAAATTTCCACATGTTGTTACCCTCAATACTCCTTTCCCAACATGCTTTAACTATGTCAAGGAAATTAGGTTGGTTAGTCCAACAATTAAGAAATTTAAAATATTTGATATTCTCATCTTCCCTAGCAGTTATTTCCATCAGTAGAGGGCAGTGATCAGACCCTACAGAAGGTAAGTGGGTGATAGTAGTCTGAGGCATCTTTTCCAGCCAGGCATCAGTAACTAAAGCTCTGTCCAGCCTTTTCCATACTCTTTGTTGTATACCCCTGTTGTTGGACCAAGTAAATTTCTATCAACTGAAGCCTAAATTCAGAAGACCACAAGCCTCAATAACAGAAATGAATTCTAGACTTTTCCTCATGTTGTATGGAACCTCCCAGCTTTTCTTCAATAAAAGTAATAACATTGTAGTCTCCCACAGAACACCAAGGTCTATCAATATCTGCAGAGTGGTGCAACATTCTATCCCATAAAGGCCTTCTGAGGTGGTCTTTACACTTGGCATACACAAAAGTGGTGGTGAAGTGGTTCTGAAGTTCATTATGGCTAAAGTCGCAAGTAATCTGTTGCTCATCCTCCTCTAGTATTACACAATCAATGTCCATGTTCTAAAAGAGCCAGATTTTACCATTGCAGTTACTCACAGCATGCTCCATAGCTAACTGATTTGTAACACTTTGAATATGAGAATTGTCCGAGAAAGGTTCCATGATGGAAATGATAGAGAAATGATGCATCTTATTGAGCATTTTTAGTCTTTCGATTACACCTTTGGTATTGATCCCCCTCACATTCCAAATAATTGTACTAATCAATGAGAAGATCGGGAAGTAAACAGCCTAGTGTTTGGTATGCCAGCAGTGACAATGTTGATATCCTGGACTTGGAATTTGAATCTCTCATGATGTAATCCTCTAGGTGATAATCCCTGACTACTAGCCACCTGCTGAATTTCATCTGCCAAGTCCTTATCCGGATGAGGACTAAAAGCTCTAATAAGAAGCTCACTAGTCTTATCATCCTCATCAAGATCTTTGTGGGATTGATTATCCACATCCGGTTCATCCTCTGAATTGTCGACTGCATATTCATCTATTATAGGGCCTTTGTTCATTTGACACTTTTCAGACATGCCATCTGGAGGGACAGTAGATGGAGGATTCATATATTGGGTTTGTAAAGGAGTGATATCCATGCCTAACTGCTCATCGACCATAATAAACTTCTTACAAACTTACCCTTCTTTTTGTTGTTCCCCCTGCTGGTCCCTGTCATGCTGTATGTTCTGTCTTTTTCTGGCAGCCTCTTTCTTTTTCTTACTAGGTTTGTTCTTGCTTATGGGAGTGTTTCCTTGGATGCTAGTGCTAGCTTTGGCTCCCATATCTTTTGCCATGGCTCCTTTGTTTTGTTTATCTGCAGTTCCTGTCACCACTTGTTGTTTTTCCTTATTATTTTCAGTATTAATCTGTTTCCCTGGCCTTGAATGTGCCTGCAGCTGTACCTGTTGGAGATCTGAAGTAGGATGCTGGATTGTAGTGGTAGCAGGAGCTCTAAGGTCAGGACTATGGTCAAAGTGAGTACCCTGATGCATAACATGAGACAAATTCCCCACTTTGGACCCCTTTTCCTGCAGGTTAGTGTGGCTCTCCTGACATCCCCCATCCTTCCCTCCTTCAACTTCATCAATACCATCAGAAAATAAAGTACTGGGATTTTTGGGACTTAGGAGCATTGAGTCAATACCTGTGCTCTTGTTATTTGTTTGGTTTCCTGCTTGCATGATTTGTTCTTTTTGGTTGTGGTCTGTTTTAGACCTGCTTTGTGATCCCTGTGGTGTTTTCCCTTCATTGTTGTTATGTCCCTGAGTATCTTGAGTCTGATTTTCCTGCATGCTAAGGTTAGAAAAAGGAATATGATTAGAATTATTGTTTATACCTTTTTGCTGAGTTGTGGGATGTGGTTGGTCTCTTGACACTTTGTTCTGTGGTGAGGTTGGCCTCCATATTGCCTTCTGTGTTTTCTCCTCCTGTGGTTTGTTGTTTCTTCTTCTTGACACTTGCCATTCTTCTTCCTTTTGTTGTTCAGTTGATAGCTGGTTGCTTCCTTCCTTGATCTTTTGGTGTTGTTGTTCTGCTTGCTCCCTTGACCTGACTTGTCTGTGATCCTTTCCTTGTTGCCCTTGTTCACCTTTATTTATGTTTTTCATTTCTGCTCCTAACTCCTTCCTTCTTTTGAAATCTTCATCTCTTATTTTGAAATTACAATCCCCTATCATGTGACCTTGATGTTTGCAGTAAGCACAATAGGGAGGGATATTTTCATATTCAATTGGTTGCCATCTCCCTATAGTGAGGTCTTCATCATCCAAGCAAATGCAAACATGTCGAGGTCTATCTTTGGTGAGGTCTACTTGGACTTTTACCTTGGCCATACTAGCTCTAGTTCATTTAATGGAAGCTGTCTCTAAATATAAGACTTTGCCCACAGACTCTAGCAGAGGAGTGATGAATTCTTTCTTGAAGCAGTGCCTTGGCAAGCCTGGTAGCAGTACCCATATAGGAACAATATGAGTCTCTTCTTCAGGTCTAAAATTGGGAGTCCAGGCTTGTATTCTCATGAGTTTGCCCTCGATGGTCATTCTTTGTTGTGTCCATACAGTGTTGTAGTCCAATTCATTTTCCAAATCAATGAACACATGCCTAGCATTATAGTGAGCAATATTGACCCCCCCATTCAACTGAGTTTGTAGGATAAAGCTCTTCCTGATGAGTTCTATCTTTGGCATGGTGATACTGAATTTACCTATAAGGGTATATTTATAGTCCACAACTAACTTGTTCATGAAATCATCCATATCGTAGATCACAATAGGTTGGCCCTGTTTAGTAGTGTGCTTGGGAGGAACAAGTTCTATAGGGGTAATCTGCGTGGCATGGATTTGCTTGAGCCTAGCAGCTAGAGTCTGCACTACAGTGTAAGGAGCAGGTTCTACACTCTGATTCTGTTTGGTATTTTGGTTCTCGTTGGGATTGCTGGGCTCTTTGGATTGGTTGGACTGATGTATCTGCTGGTTTTACTGATTGGAACTGATATGTCTATCAAAATTGCTAGAGAGTTTAGGGAAGTCCCTATGATAGTTATTTGGTTCAGTATTCCCTCCTTGATCAATTGGTTGAGATACATTTTTATCTCTCCCTCTACTTTAAGGTCGAATAATCTGCTGTTGGGAATCAATGTCTCCCATGCCTGTTTCCTGCTCTTCCCTCATAACATTCTTTTGCCCATTTGCACTACCCTTCACATGGGCATCACTACTACTCAAGTTAACAACATTTTTACTAGAGTTAGAGTGAGAGGACTTACCTGCCTGAGTGCTCTCCACATTTGGTTTTTTGCTTAAGGAAGTGATATTAGTTTGCTGCTGTTCCTGCATAGAGACATGAGAAAGTGCATTATTATCCTTGGGAATCATACCTGTTCTTTGCTGTCCTCCATTGCTGGGACTTGGGTCCACTAGTTTCACTCCAAATGAAAAATGAGCTGAATTTTCCACATCAATGACTTTCAAATTAGCAGAACTTGTATTGTCCAGCTGATCATTTTGGCCCTGATATACTCGCGTATCTACTTGTTTAACTTCCCTCTCTATTTGTTGTTTTCCTATAGCATTGTGATCTTGTTTTTGACCATTAGGCCCTGCTTGATCCTAGGAGAACGTCTGCTGTTGTTGTTCTTCAATTCTGCAGCTGTGTTCTTTAAGCTCAATTTGTGGATTGGTTGTAGACTTTATGAAACTTGTTTGAATCTTATTCTGGCTGTGTTCTTGAGCTAATTTGGTGGATATATTGGTCAGGTGGACTTCCTCGTCCAACGAGCAATTGCCCCCAGTGGCGCCATCGCCACCTTTGACTATTTGCTCACCGAAGTTCATGTCGTCGGTGATTTGACCGGCCATTTTACTTGAGATCGCTGTGAGATGTACCTCTTCACCAGATGAACAATCCCCAGTGGTCAAATCGCCGTGAAAATGGTGGGAAGTTGGATGAATTTGAAGGCGCATCTCTGATGAATTTGCGCTGACTTTCCTAGAAATCGTCTCATCAGTTCTCACAATTGGCGCGATGGAATCATGTGATTTTTGAGTATGTTGTAGCCCTTGATTAGGAGAATCATTCCGACTATATAGTTTTCGATGAATCAGGTTATCGCGATCTGGGGAAATAAATTTCTAAATCCCGTCGAGCTCTCTTTCTGAAATCGCGATGTTCTTATCCTCTGTATTTCACAATTTCGTGGAGTTGTAGGATGAATTAGATGATGATTCTTGATGGGTTTTGTTCGTCTCCTCAGAGCGCCTCAGATGGCTTTGGTCTGGCGGCCTGAAAAGGTTCACCGGTGGCGCACGCGCCATTCCAGCAGGTGAACTAGCCGTTGGAACTGTAGCAGTTGTGCAGATTTTTGAGAGAGTCCCACGTAGAGAGAGAAATTAGAGAGTTCAGAGTTTATGGTTTAGAGTTTTGGTTTGGGGTTGAGAGTTTAGGGTTTAGGGTTAGGCTTTATGGTTTAGTGTTTAGGGTTTTTTTACCCTCCCTAGGAGCTCCCTCCCCTTTAGCTCCCTTGGTGACTCGAACTCGCAATCTTCGAGTTAAAAGTGAGACGTGCTTACCATCCGAGCAACTCCTTCTCGTCAGGGTTTAGGGTTTAGGGTTTAGGTTTTATGTTTTAATGTTTAGGGTTTATAATTTAGAGTTTAGGGTTAGAGTTTAGGGTGTAGGGTTAGAGTTTAGGGTTAAGAGTTTACGATATAAGGTTTAGGGTCTAGAGTTTGGGGTTTAGGATTTAGGGTTTAGGGTTATGGTTTAAGGTTTATGGTTTATGGTTTAGGGTTTTGAGTTTAGCTTATGTGTTTAGAGTTTAGGGTTTAGGGCTTGAGTTTAGGGTTTAGGGTTTAGGGTTTATGATTTAGGATTTTGGGTTTAGGGTTAGGGATTTGGGTTTAGGGTTTAGGATTTAGGGTTTAAGGTTTAGGCCTTAGGGTTTAGAGTTAAGTGCTCTGCGTCTAGGGTTTTGGACTTAGGGTTAGGGATTATGATTAGGATTTAGGGTTTAAGGTTTAGGCCTTAGGGTTTAGATTTAAGTGCTTTGCGTCTAGGGTTTTGGACTTAGGGTTAGGGATTATGATTAGGATTTAGGGTCAAGCATTTAAGGATTAAGGTTTAGAGTTTAAGATTTAGGGTTTAGGGTTTAGAGTTTGGATTTTGGGTTTAGAGTTTAGGTTTGGGGTTTGGGTTTAGGGTTTAGTGTTTTTATGGTTAGGAGTTTAGGATTTAGGGTTTACAGTTTAGGATTTAGGGTTTAGGTCTAGGGTTTAGGGTTTAGGGTTAGTGTTTAGATTTTAGGGTTTAGCATTTAGAGTTTAGGGTTTAGGGTTTAGGGTTTTGGATTTAGGTGTTTAGGGTTAAGAGGTTAGGGTTTATAGTTTATCAATTAATGGTTTAGGCTTAGGGTTTAGGGTTTAGGGTTTAGAGTTTCGGGTCTAGGGTTTTGGGTTTAGGGTTTAGCATTTAGGGTTTGGGTTTAGGGTTTAGTGTTTAAGGTTTAGGGTTTAGAGTTTATGATTAATGATTTAGGGTTTAAGACTAATGGTTTAGGGTTTAGGGTTTAGGGTGTATCGTTTAGTGACTAGGATTTAGAGTTTAGGATTTACGGTTTAGGGTTTTGGGATTAGAGTTTAAAATTATAGTTTAGTGTTAAGGTTTTTGTTTAGGGTTTAGGGTTTGGGTTTAGTGTTTAAGGTTCAGGGTTTTGTGTAAGGAGTTTAGGATTAAGGGTTTAGGGTTTCAATTTTAAGTTTTAAGGTTTAGGGTTTAGGGTTTAGGGTTTAGAGTTTAGGGTTTAGACTTTAGTATTTAGGGTTTTGAGTTTATGATTTAGGGTGTAGGGTTTAGGGTTTAGGACTTAGTGTTTAGGGTTTAGGGTTTAGGGTTTAGGGTTGTAGGCTTATGGTTTAAGGTTTAGGGGTTGGGGGTTAGAGTTTGGATTTAGGGTTTAGGGTTTAGGGTTTAGGGTTAGGGTTTAGGGTTTTGAGTTAGTAATTCGGGTTTAGAGTTTAGGGTGTAGGGTTTAGAGTTGAGGATTTAGGGTGTAGGGCTTAGGGTTTAGAGTTTGGATTTAGGGTTTAGGGTCTGGGGTTTAGCATTTAGGGTTTAGGGTTTAAGGTATAGGGTTTACTGTTTAGGGTTTAGGGATTAGGGTTTAGGGTTCATGGTTAAGGGTTAGATTTTAGGGTTTAGGTTATCGAGTTTAGGGATTAAGGGTTTAGGGTATTAGATTTAGGATTTAGGGTTTAGGGTTTATGTTTTAGAGTTGAGGATTTCGGGTTTAGTGTTTAGGTTTAGGGTTTATAGTTCAGGTTTAGGGTTTAGGGTTTATTATTTATATTTTAACGTTTAGGGTTTAAGGTTTTGAGTTTAGGATTTAGGGTTTAGAGTTTAGAGCATAGGATTTAGGGTTTATGGTTTTTTTTTTAACGACCCTTGTGGGGGTAAGGGGCTTAGCAACACCCCAGGCCTTAACATAAATGAAACAAAAAACAAGATACAAGGAGGGGGACATAAACCTTCCCTCCAATCCTATAGTGGTTTATAAGTCTATCATCCTACTAAGGTCAATCAACTCTTCCCCTATACTATAAAATGAAACCTAACTTCTAAACATATGTGAGAGGACTCCTCTCGATACAAAAAAACTAAGAAAGCATAAATAAAGGAGACTCTCTCTTTACATGTGAAAATAGGAAAAGAAAAAGCCTATGCCCTATAAAGGCCTTTCTTCATACAACCCTAACTCGTAGGTAACAGAGAACTACAATGAAGAAAGCTCGATGATATCAAAAAGGAAAAGAAAGCTCCATGATGATATGGTGTGGCCTTACACTATAGTCAAAACAATCAGCATGGAGATCAAGGCGGTTTTTTAATTCTCTTAGTTTTCTTTCGTCTGAGGTTAGCTAAACCAAGCATGTCTGTCCTGAGTAGCCCTTTGATATGAATAGGCAAGTCATGAATCCAAGTGAAGTGAGTAACAACAAGTGTGGTGTGGCTGTGTTAGGACAATGCATCAGCAACCACGTTGCCCTCTTTGTATATGTGATGACTCAAAAAGAGGTGAAGCTGGCGAGTGATGTCCTGTAGTCTACGAAAGGAGTGGTGGAGATGCCAATGAGGTGCTATCCTGCCATCAATCCATCTGACAAAAGCTCTAAGTCAACCTCAAGAATGACCCCCGAATAACAATTATCTAAACTCCAACCTAGTCCAATACAAGCCGCTTCAAGCACAACCTGATTGTTAGTCCCGACTCCCAAGGGGGTTTAGGGTTTAGTGTTTATGGTTAAGGGTATGGGGTTTAGGGTTTATGGTTTAGGTTTTAGGGTTTAGAGTTTAGGGTTTTGGATTTAGGGTTTAGAGTTTAGGAATTAGGGTTTAGGATTTAGGGTTTAGGGTTTAGAGTTATGAAATTAAGGTTTAAGGTTTAGGGTTTAGAGTTTAGTGTTTAGGGTTTAGGGTTTGGGGTTTAGGGTTTATGGTTAAGGGTATAGGGTAAGGGTTTATAGTTTAGGGTTTAGGGTTTTGGGGTTAGGGTTTAGAATTTAGGATTTACGGTTTAGGGTTTAGGCTTTAGAGTTTAGGATTTAGGGTTTAGGGTTTAGGGATTTGATAAATTGTTTAAGGTTTAGGGTTTAGGGTTTAGAATTTGGATATAGAGTTTAGGGTTTAGGGTTTTGAGTTTTGGATTTATGGTTTAGGGTTTAGGGTTTAGAGTTTAGCATTTAGGGTTTACAGTTTAGGGTTTAGGGTTTAGAGTTTAGGGTTTAAGGGTTTGGGTTTAGGGTTTAGGGTTTAGACTTTAGAGTTTAGAGTTTTTTTTTTTTTTTTTTTTTTTTTATTTTTTTTTATTTTATTTGAACGACCCTTAGATGGGTCAGGGGCTTAGCAACACCCCCAGGCCTTAGCATAAATTAAAACAAGCAAAGTACAAGGAGGGGGACATCAACCTAACCTCCGATCCTATGGTGGTTCATCAGTCGACCTTCCTACTAAGGATAGTCAACTAATCCCCGTTCTAGAAGTTGAAACCTAGAAACTAAATACCTAAAAGAGAGGACTCCTCTCAATACATCGAATCTAGGAAACATAAATAAGGGAGACTCTCCCCTTACATTAGCTAAGTAGAAACCTATACCTATTCAAGGGAGCTATATTTTAACATAGCTAATTTGAGAAGGTTGTGTTCATCTTTATGGAGGTTCTTTGATCTTCTTAATCTTCTTTCTTCTGAAGTTTGCTATTTCGATCATGTCAAGTTGGTAGTAGGCTCTGGCTTCTTTTGGTAATTGTTGATTGCTGCAATATATTTGAGGACTTGTGATTTTATGACTTTGTTTGGACAATGAATCAGCAACATAATTAGCTTCTCTGAAGGTATGTTTGCATCTAAAGTTGTGAGTTTGTCTGATGAGCTCTTGAAGCCTCTGTACTTGTGAATTAATACTCCATGGAGGTTTAGCTTTGAGCATAATCCAGTCGATTAAGAGCTGTGAATCTACCTCTAGAATGACACTCCTGTAACCTAGTTGAAGTACCCATGTCATTCCGAATATGGCTGCTCCTATTTCGGCTTGGTTGTTGGTTCCATTTCCTAGTGGGGTAGCAAAAGCTAAGATCATTTCCCCACTGTGGTCTCTGATTACACCTCCTGCACCTATTCTCCCGGGGTTACTTAAAGCACTACCATCTGTATTTAGTTTCACCCATTGTTCAGGAGGTCTTTGCCAAGACACCATAATCACCTTAGTATCATGAAAACATTTCTCTGCCTGTTTGATCAAATCTGTCCAGTTTGAGGGCCATCTGATGTAAGGAAAAGTGGTAGTCATAAGCTTGTAATTGTCTTTGTATACTGCATACTTAACTCTAGAGGCATTGGACTGTTTTCCTCCATATTTCCTCGCGCACCTGTTCTTCCATATATTCCAGCAGATGAATATTGGAGTAGCTTGAAGAATTAACTTGTGAGCTTCATTGTTGTACTTGGTCGACCACCATCTCATGATTAGATGAATAAGAGGGGTGTGGTCTGTTTTGATTCCTGCGTGCCTAGCAAAATATGTCCATATATGTGTTGCAAAGTGACCAGTGTTGAAGATATGATTTATAGTGTCCCACCCAGGTCTGTCGCAACAAAAACATGTTACTGGTTCATTGCCAAAGCTGGAAATTTTTTCATTAGTAGGTAATTTCCCTTTTAGTACCCTCCACAGCAAAAAGGAACATTTAAAAGGGATGTTTTTATGCCAAATAAAGTCATAAAACTGAGTCTTGTTCCTTTTTTCCCTGAGTTCATTCCAGGCAGAAGAACAAGTGAAATTCCCATCAGAATTAAGTTTCCACACTGCCTGGTCAGGGATGCCTTGCTGGTACTGAATGTGAGTATCTAAGATGCTTGCTACCATGCTATGAGGGGCCTGCTGTATCAGCATCTCCAGGTTCCATTGGCCCTCAATCAGGAAGTCAGCCACTGTGTTGTTGTTGAACCTGTTGCTTTCACTAGAGAAATTTGCTAAAGGCCCGACTCCTAACCAATTATCCCACCAGAAAGAACAAGTTCCGGAGATGATTGTCCAATGTATGTGCTCCTCAATTTTTACTTTGTTGTGCATTAAATGTTTCCAGGTAGGGGACTCACCAGTGTCCCATTTCTTGCTGATAGGATTTGATCTCTGACAGTATTTAGCTCTCAAGAATTCTCCCCAAAGAGTGTGTTTTGATCTAAATATCCACCATTGCTTGTATTGAAAAGCCATGCACACATCCTTTAAATTTCTCATACCAACGCCTCCTTCCTCATATGGAAAACTCAAATTCTTCCACGAGGACCAATGATATTTTTTTCTGTCATTTTTCCATCCCCAGAAGAAGTCTGCCATAAGGTTCTGAATTTGTTTTATAACAGTAGAGGGAGGAGATATAGCAGAAACAAGGTGAATGGGGAGGGATTGTAACACATGCTTGACTAATGTATTTCTGCCTCCATAGCTCAAGATTTTTGTCTTCCATCCTGTAATTCTATTAACCACTTTGTTGATAAGATCAGAAAAATAAGTAATTCTTGGCCTGCCAATGTATAGGGGGCATCCAAGGTAAGTAATAGGACCTTCCTTTTGCTTGAAACCAGTAATTCTCTTAATCCTGTCCCTAGTGCTGTTGAAGGCGTTGGAATGGACCATAAAATGACTTTTGTCTTTGTTCACTAGCTGTCCAGAAGTCTCCTCATATATATTCAGAGTATACATAATCAGTTCAAGAGACTTTTTCCTTCCAGAAGTAAAAATAATAATATCATCCGCAAAGCTAAGGTGATTAACTTGTGGGCCTCTCGTTTCCATGAAGAAACCATGATAGTTAGGATTGCTGTGCATTCTGTTTAATGATCTTGAAAGGACCTCAGCCCCTAAAATAAATAGGGCAGGTGATAGGGGGTCACCTTGCTTTAGACCTCTAGTGGATTGAAAGAAGCCATACCTTTTTCCATTAACAATAATTGAATACCAGTTATTTGCCATGATCCTCCATACCATGTCAATAAAAATCTCATCAAAGCCCATTTTCCTTAAAACCATACAAATGTACGCCCAGGAGACCCTATCATAGGCCTTTGCCATATCCAATTTAATAACCACATTGCTACCAATGTTAGGTTTTCTAATCTGATGGAGAATTTCTTGGGCAAGCATGATATTCTCAGAAATACTTCTACCCTTGACGAAACCTGATTGATTAAGGGAAATCAGGTTGGGTAGAATAGGACCCAGTCTCAAACTCAAGAGCTTAGAGATGATTTTGTTGGTGAAGTTGCTTAGACTGATGGGCCTGAATTCTGAGAGCTTATTTGGATTGTTTACTTTGGGCAGCAAAACAATACAAGAGTGGGAAAAATATTTGGGAATCATTTGTCCATTGAAGAAAGCCAAAATGACAGCTAACAGGTCATACTTGATAATCTGCCAGCATTTCTGGAAAAAACAACCACTCATGCCATCTGGCCCTGCTGCAGAGGTGGGATTCATAGAAAATACCACTTCTTTTAATTCATCTATAGTAGGGAGGGCAATGAGTCTGGCATTATGATCTTGATTTAGCATTCTGGGAATACAATCCAGAGGTCCTTCATGAATGAATTTATCCTCTCCTGTGAATATTTGCTGGAAGTGTTCACATGCTGCCTCCGCAATATTCTCATTTCCTTGTATCCATTCCCCGTCCTCTCTTACTACTCTATGTATAAATAATCTCCTCCTTCTCCCTCTTAATAAGGAGTGAAAATACTTTGAGTTGCAATCACCTTCTTTAAACCATTGGAGTTGAGTTTTTTGCTTTAGGATGGAGTCCTCCAGCTTCAAAAATCTGATATATTCAGCATTGATTGCATGTAGAGCAGTTCTGTTCTCCTCAGAATTGTTTTGTATAAAAGATTCTTCAGCATTTTTAACTCTATTCTCATACTCCTTGACTTTGGCAAAGATATCACCAAACTCCCCCTTAGACCATTTACTGAGGGTGCAGGCCAGTCTTTTGAGTTTCTGATGGAACTTCCACATGCTGTTACCCTCCTGCTCCCTATCCCAGCAAGCTTGAACAATGTTGAGGAAGTTAGGTTGGTCAGCCCAGCAATTTAGAAACTTGAAGTACTTAATATGTTCCTCACTTCTAATATTCATTTCCATCAATAGTGGACAGTGATCTGAACCAACTGATGGGAGATGAATGATAGTCGTTTGAGGCATATGTTCAAGCCAAGAATCATTTACCATAGCCCTGTCTAGTCTCTTCCATACCCTGCTGTGTATACCCCTGTTATTGGACCATGTAAATTTCTGACCGCTGAAACCAAGGTCCATAAGACCACAAGCTTCAATCAACGCAATGAACTCCAGACTTTTCCTCATATTGTACGGCACCCCTCCCAGTTTCTCATCAATGGAAGTAATAACATTATAATCACCCACTGCACACCAAGGGGAATTGGTTGTAGCAGTAGCATGATATAACATTCTATCCCAAAGAGGTCTTCTAAGATAGTCCTTACATTTGGCATAAACAAAGGTATTAGAAAACTTGATATGCAACTCATTATGAGTGATTTCACAGGTGACTTGCTGCTCATCCTCCTCTATCACATTGCAGTCCACATCCAGGTTCCAAAACAGCCAAATCTTGCCATTGCAATTACTCATAGCATGATCCATAGCAAGCTGATGTTTAAAATTCTGGACATGAATGATATCTGAGAAAGGTTCCAGGATCGCAATTATAGAAATATGATGCAACTTCTTAAGCATTTTTAATCTTTCCATAACACCTTGGGTGTTAATCCCCCTTACATTCCATATAAGTGTACTGATCATTGGGAGGATTTGGAAGCAAAAAGTCTGGTATTTGGTCTGCCTGCAGTGACAGTGTTGATGTCTTGATTTTTGAAATGGAAATTGTCACGATGGAAACCTCTTGGAGATAGTCCCTGTTTCGTAGTCACTCGTTGAATGTCATCCTCCATGTTCTGGTCAGTACGAGGACTAAATGCTTTGATCAATAATTCACTAATTTCATCCTCATCATCAGGATCTTGTAAAGACTGGTTATCCGCATCTACTTCATCTTCAGAATTTTCTGCGGCATATTCATCAATAGTTGGGGTAGTGTTGGTTTGACAAGTATGCCTTTTATCAGGAGGGACATTAGGAGGAGGAGTCATATACTGAGCCTGTAGAGGAGTAATATCCATACCCTGCTGATCATCTACCATAATAAATTTTTTGCATACTGCATCATTCTTCTGCTCTTTATTTTGAACATTCTCTTGTTGCTTGTTCTGTTTCTTTTGAGCTGCTTGTCTCTTTTTCTTGCTAGGTTTATTTTTGCTCTTAGGAGTATCTCCTTGATTACTAGTGCTTGCTTTGTTGCCCATATCCTTTGCCATTGCACTCTTGTTCTGATTATAAACTACTCTTTCCTCCACTTGTTGTTTTTGTCTGTCATACTCTGTAGTTGTTTGTTTTTGTACCCTTGCTTGCTTTTGTTGTTGTGCCTGATGCATTCTTGAATTATGTTGCTGACTTGTAGTGGTTGCAGAAGCTCTAGGGTCTGAACTATGGTCAATGTGTGCCCCCTCATGCAGAACATGAGTCAAGTTCCCCCCTTTGGATACCCCTTCCTGCATGTTAGTATGTTTCTCCTGACTTCCCCCATCCATCCCTCCTTCAGCTTCAACCATACAGTCAATGGAAAAATTACTAGGGATTGTGGGGATTGGGAGCATTGAGTCAATACCTGTGTTTTTTTTTTTTTTTTTGTTTTCCTTTTGCACAGTCTGTTTTGCCTGTGTTTGATTTGTTTCATAATTGTTTGGTGTTCCTTGTGGTGGTGTCCTTCCATTGTTGGAAGGCTCTTCCCTTTCTTCATCTGATGGTTCCTGCATATTCAAGTTAGTAAACATATTGTTATTAGAGTTATCTGTTGTACCTGCTTGTTGTGTTGTACTTTGTTGATGCTCCTTTGACATCCTGTTCTGTGGTGAGGTTGGCCTCCATACTGTTTTCTGATTTTTCTCCTCATTCTGTCTATTGTTTTTCCTTTTGTGTATTTGCCAGTCCTCTTCCTTTTGTTGCTCAGGTTGTCGGTGGTGTTTACCTTCCCTGGTGTCTTGGGTGTGTTCCTCCTCTTTCTCCTTTGTCGTGGACTGTTTGTTGTCCTTTCCTTTATGCAGCTGTTCACTTGTGCTTCTGTTTTTTGTCTCAGCTTCCCACTCTTTCCTTTTTTTAAATTCCTCATCTCTTATTTTGAAGTTGCACTCATGTAGCATGTGACCTTGATGTCTACAGTATTCACAGTATGGGGGAACACTTTCATATTCAATAGCTTGCCATCTTCCTATAGTTAGGTCCTCCTCATCTAGTCCAATCCATACATGTCGAGGTCTGGCTTTGGTTATATCCACTTGGACTTTTACCTTGGCCATACTAGCTCTAGTTCTTTTAATGGAAGCCGTGTCAAGATATAACACTTTACCTATGGATGATAGCAGAGGTGTTATGAATTCTTTTTTGAAGCAGTGCCATGGCAGTCCTGGAAGCAGCACCCAAATAGGGACGATAGGAGTTTCTTCATCAGGTCGAAAATTAGGAGTCCAGGCCTGTATTCTCATTAGTTTGCCTTCAATGTTCATTCTTTGTTGAGTCCAGACAGTGTTGTAGTCCAGCTCATTGTCCAAATCAATAAATACATGCCTAGCATTGTAGTGCGCTATATTGGCTCCCCCATTCAGTTGGGTTTGCATGATAAAACTTTTTCTGATAAGTTCCACTTTAGGCATGGTACTACTGAATTTACCTATCAAAGTGTACTTGCAGTCCACAGATAACTTTGTCATGAAATCATCCATATCGTAAATGACAGCAGGTAGGCCTTGCTTGGTAGTGTGTTTGGGAGGTATCAGCTCAATGGGGGTCTCACATTTAGCGTGATTTTGCCTGAGTCTTGCTGCCAGCGTCTGAGGCACTGTATAGGGTGCTGGTTCCTCACTTTGATCTTTTTTGGTGTTTTGGATGTTTTTAGTGTTGGTTGCATCAGTAGGTTGATCAGGAGTATTGGTTTGCTGGCTTTTTGGGTGTTGAGGGCTATGTCTCTCAAAGTTTGAGGAGATTTTAGGATATACATTGTGATAACTGTTAGGCTCTTGGTTGTTTCCTTTTTTGTTTTGCTGATTCTGTCCCATTTTGGCATTTTCATTTCCCTGATTTGGTCTAGCCTGTTGGTGAGGATTGATGTCCTTCGTCCCCTGTTCCTGTTCAACTGAATTTCCAGCCGTCTGTCCCTTTGCATGCATTTGCAATTGGGCTTCACTATCCCTCATAGTTCCAGCATTGTATTCATGATTAGAAGTAACAGACTTACCTGATTGAGTGCTATCCAAAGTTTTACCTTGCAATTTGCTGCTGGCTGATTGCTGTACCTGCATTTGGTTAGTATCAATAGTATTATTATAGTTGATTTCTTTACCTGGCTGTTTCTGTATCCCATTGTTGGGAGTTGTATCAGTAGCCTTAACCCCAAAGGAAAATTGAGAAGAATTCTCCACCTCAATCACCCCCATAGCTTTAGTACCCACGTTACCTTGGTGATCTTTTTGAGTTTGTTTATCTGTATCTTTCGAGTGAGCCTCCATGCCACGATCTCCAAATCTACATTGAGTCTGGTTTTGACCATTCAAATTTGCATGATTCTGAGGAGTTGATCCTTGAGTATTAGTTTCATTCCTGTGGGGTTGCTCTGTACCTTCCGGTTGATTGTTGGTATGTTGTGACTCTTTAAATGTGATCGGAATTACTTCTTGGTCTTGTTCTTGAGCTAAATTATTGGAGATATCAGTAAGATGAACCTCCTTATCATTAGAATAGCTTCCTCCAGATGCATCTCCACCATTTTTCTCATTTGTGACTGGTCCATTGCCGGAAACTTCGTCGCCGGCGATTTGTCCGTCCGAATTACTTGAGGTTGCATTGAGATGTACCTCTTCATTAGGTGAGTAAACCCCAGTGGTCAAATCTCCTCGAATTTGCTGGGGTGATGCTCGAATATGACGGCGCGTTTTGGGAGATTCGATCGCGATTTCCTCAGAAATCGCCTCTTCAGATCTCGCACTTGGTATGATGGAATCACGTAATTTTCTAGTATGTTGTAGTTCTAGATTAGTAGATTCATTCCCACAAAACAGATTTTGATGAATCAACCTATCGCGATCGGAGGAAATAATTTTTTGAATCCCGTCCAGCTCCCTTTCTGAAATCGCGATATTCATCGCCTCAGTATTTCGCGAATTCGTGGAGTTGTAGGATGAATTAGATGGCGATTCCGGTTGGGTTTTGTTCGTCTGCTCCAGGCGCCTCTTTTGATCTTGATCCGGCGGCCTGAAGGTGCCTACCGGCGGCTCACGCGCCATTCCGGTAGATCCTGTAGCCGTTGGAACAGTAGCCGTTAGGCTTATGTTTGGGAGTGTTCAGCTTAGAGAGATAGACTAGAGAGAGAAAAAAAATTAAGAAATGAGGAGGCGATGAGTTTAGAGTTTAGAATTTAGGGTTTAGGGTTTAGGGTTTAGGGTTTAGGGTTTAGGGTTTAGGGTTTAGGGTTTAGGGTTTAGGGTTTAGGGTTTAGGGTTTAGGGTTTAGGGTTTAGGGTTTAGGGTTTAGGGTTTAGTGTTTAGGGGTTATGATTTAGGGTTTAGGGTTTAGGGTTTAGGGTTTCAGGTTTAGTGTTTAGGGTTTATGGTCTAGAGTTTAGCATTTAGGTCTTAGGTTTTATGGTTTAGGCTTTAGAGTTTAGGATAAAGGTTTTAAGGACTTAGGTTTTATGGTTTAGGGTTTAGGGTTTCGAGTTTAGGGTTTATGGTTAAGGTGATAGAATTTAGGGTTGAGGCTGTAGGGTTTAGAGTTTAGGGTTTAGGGTTAAGGGTATAAGGTTTAAGGTTTAGGGTTTAGGGTTTAGAGTTTAGAATTTTGATTTTAGGATATGATTTAGGGTTTAGGGTTTAGGGTTTAGGGTTTAGTATTTAGGGCTTAGGGCTTAGGGTTTAAGATTAGGTTTTAGGATTTTGAGTTTAGTATTTAGGATTTAGGGTTTAGGGTTTACGGTTTAAGGTTTAGGGTTTTGTGTTTAGGGTTCTGTGTTTAGGGTTTAGTGTTTAGAGTTTAGGGTTTAGGGTTATATGTTTAAGGTTATGGGTTTAGAGTTTAGGGTTTAGGGTTGAGGGCTTAGGTTTTATGGTTTAGGCTTTAGAGTTTAGGATAAAGGTTTTAAGGACTTAGGTTTTATGGTTTAGGGTTTAGGGTTTCGAGTTTAGGGTTTATGGTTAAGGTGATAGAATTTAGGGTTGAGGCTGTAGGGTTTAGAGTTTAGGGTTTAGGGTTAAGGGTATAAGGTTTAAGGTTTAGGGTTTAGGGTTTAGAGTTTAGAATTTTGATTTTAGGATATGATTTAGGGTTTAGGGTTTAGGGTTTAGCTCTTGGTTATATGGTTTAGGGTTTACAGTTAAGGATTTAGGTTTTAGGGTTTAAGGTTTAGGGTTTAGGTTTAGGGTTTAGGGTTTACGGTTTAGGGTTTAGGGTTTGGTTATATGGTTTAGGGTTTCGTGTTTAGGGTGTACGGTTAAGGATTTAGGTTTTAGGTTTTAGGGTTTAGGGTTTAGGGTTTAGGGTTTACGATGTAGGATTTAGAATTTAGAGTTTAGGGTTTAGGGTTTAGGTTTTAGGGTTTATGGTAAGGGATTAGAGTTTAGATTTTATTGTTA